AAGGTTTGTTTTGGCCCATGGTTTCAGAGGTTTCAGTCCATGGTCACTTGGCTCTGTTGCTTCTGAGCTTGTGGTGAGGCAGAACATCATGACAGGAAATGATGTGACATACTTACTGTGGTAGAGGAGACTAGCTCATTTTGTGGCAAACAGATATTTCCTCAAACTCAGAAATTTTTCTGCTTGAGCTAGTGTGCTATTGAGGTTCTCACATGAACTGTACAGTCTTCCTTCTATCCTTCCTTCCTTCCTTCCTTCCTTCCTTCCTTCCTTCCTTCCTTCCTTCCTTCCTTCCTTTTCTCCTTTTTTGGTACTTGGAATCAAACTCATGATCTCACACTTGTCAGGCAGGTACTGTGCCCCTGAGCTCTATCCCCAGCCCTGCACTGTATTTCTTATTTTGTCTCCTGAATTCATTAGCTGTAGGATTTCTGTTTAGACGTTCTTTATGACCTCTATTTCTTTGATGAATTTCTCTGTCTTCCTAATTGTGTTAAATTATCTGTCAGCATACTTTTAAAATTTTTTTTTATTCTTTTACTCTTTAGTTTTTTTGTGGTACTGGGGATTGAAGCCAGGGCCTCGCATATGCTAAGCAAGTGCTGTCCCACTGAGCTACATGCCCAGCTGTCTGGGATACTCTTATATCCATTATGTTTTCTTAAATTTTTACTGTAAATAATTTTTTCAGGAAATGCAGTGATTTCCTTTTGTCTATGAACTATTGTTGGAAAGCTGTTGTGTTCTTTTGGAGGCATCTTCTTAACTTGTTTTTTCATGCTCCATGTTTCTCCATGTTTGGTATTTGCACAATCTGGAGGATTAATTGTTCCTACCAATTTCATATGGTAGCTTTTGTAGTAAAAATTTTCTCTTGATGAGAAGTGCCAGGGTGTTGACTGGATAGTTTGCATGGGCTTTGGTTCCATGTTGGCACTTCAGTGCATGTAACTTCTGTACCTGTAATTGCTAGTGATGTCTTTGTGCCCTAGGCTATGGGGATTATACAGTTGAATTTAGATTCTCTCTCATGGGATGGACTTATTGGTAACTCTGGGTCAATTTCTCTGGGTCGTGTGAGGATGGGACTGCTCTTATGTGCCTTTGCTTGCAGGGTGTGGCTGTGTGGCAGCAGAAGCATAGCTCCTGTCAGTTTCCAAGGACTGCATTGGCCCCGGGGTACCACAATACTGGTATATTATAGCATGCTCAGGAGAGGAGCAGGGTGCCTTTGAGGGGCAGGGCTACCCAGGGGCTGTGCTGTGCTGCATCAGTGTGCCCCGATGGGGTGCTCATGTGTGTTGAAGACCCACATGGGTAATGTTGCTGGGCCTCTGGGGCTCGCTACTCAGGGCATGCTGCCTGTCTGCTTCTCTGAATCTCACTGGGCTGAGCTTCTGAGAACTGGCTGCCAAGTTGCTTCTTGAGGCTTTGGGAGGATGGACAGGACTGCCTTAACTTGTTCCAGCAACTGAGCCACTCTGGTTGCCAGGCTACTTTCTGGGTATGTGGGTTGGTGGGGGATGACTGGCTGCTTCCAAGGGTAGGTTGGCTGAGCAGCTGCGTACAGATGCTCAGCTTCTTCACAGGACCCCAGGAATAGTCTCAAGATGGCACTGTGCAACAGGAGCCTTGGTAGGGGACAGCCAACCTCACAGTTCCCTATACTGGGCTCAGAACCTGTGAGGGCTGCAGACTTGTCCAGCAGTAAATGCCTCAAGTGTCCATGGTATGAGTGAAGACTTCTGGGATCTCCTGCTTACTCTTTTCCCACAAAGCTGGCCTTGAACTCACTATGTATCCCGGGCTGGCCTCAAATTTGTGGTGGTCCTCCTGCCTCAGCTTCCTGACTGCTGTACCATTGTGCCTGGCTTAGGTCCCTTCTCGGTAAGGGCATCATGTATCTCCATGCTCCACAGTGTCTCTCTGCCACATCCCCACTGCCCTCCAGTGCTGTGCCTCACACATGCCAGTGAAATAGCTGTTTTTGTTTTGTTCCTCTGTTGTAGAGAAGACCGTGCCAGACACCTCTAGGCAGCCATCTTGCGGGATACAGTGATTAGTCTCTTTCTAACCCTTTTTTTGAGCTTACTGTTAACCTTGCTAATGAAATCTAACCACGCCTAGATTTTGAAGGGCTTCCTGCAATCTTCTCATTGTCACCATTCATCTTGTCTGTTTCTACTTCTCTTGATGATGACAATTTGGTTGTCTGCTTACAGCCACACCTGCCAGGAGTTATCTATTGGTACACGAAAGCAAATTTGCAGTTTGAAGCTTAGATGTTTAGTTTGGCCCTCTTAGTGTTCTAAAAATAAGAATATTTCACATAAAATCTGGATTCCTGTTTCTCTTCATGTGGAATGCCTGTGTGGCAGTTGTGGACCCAGCTGAGTAGCAGCTGCTTTTTTAGTCAAGGTGGGAGGATGCAGTTTTTAGTTCCATAATTCCCTGCTGTTTATACCTGGCCCACTTCACTAATTTACATCCAGTTTTGCTTGGCCTCTGGAGGTAGTTGGTAAACATACCTTTGAGGTATTTTTTTTTTTAATATTCTCTTAGTTCTGTGATGTAGTGCTTCTGGAAGGGGGCTGACCACCGTGGCTGGCTCTGGAACATAGATCCGGATACATAGCAGACAAGATAGACTTTGTTCTATATCTTGGGCTAGTGCCTACCTTCGGCAGTCTCAGGTACTGTAGGCTTGTATTATTCTGAGGCCCAGAAGACACACCTGCTTGTCTGTGTGGAACATTCATTCATTCATTCATATATTCAGCAGTTATAAACTAGGCCCCAAGTTATGCATGCAAGATACAGTGATGAAAGAGATTAACACAGTACCTGCCCTCAGGAAACTTGGCTCTTGGAAGTATTTGATGTCTATATCCTCCTGACAGTCTGTCTTTTCTTTGGACTTATAAGGATACCTGCTTTTTTGTTCCTACTTTTCTTTTGAGAGAAGTTTGAGGGGCTGGGCTGCACAGATGACCACCATCTAACCTGACCTGCCTGGTGAAACCGTATAGTATAGTCATGAGTGGATGTCACAGTGTAGACTTATCTGACTTGGAGCCTAAGACTGCCTTTATAAGTAGGTAAGTAGTGATAATAATGGCTACCATGTACTAAGGACTAGTGCCTGCCAATGTAGAATATAGTACCTCATCTAGTGTATGATCTAGACATTATTATTATTTCCACTTTACAAATACAGAAATTGAGGCTTAGTAAATTAAGTAACTTTCCCAGAATCAGAAGAAACTAGAATTAGAACTTTGTGTAACCACTGTGCTGGAGTTGGTGCCCTCAGTACTTATGAGTTGATTTGAGGGCCTCTTTTTGCCCAAGATATTTTTTTCACTGATCCTTAACATGTCATGCAATTCTGCCATCTAAATTGTATGCTTTTATTTTTTGTTAAAATGCAAAAAATTCCTGGAGGAGCTCTAAGTTGTTACCATCAACATCTTAACACCTTAACCTTTTCTTTGACAGCTAATTAATAATCAGATATAGAGGGACCCAGGGAGGTAGGAGTCCCTATCTGGAGCTGGGATACCATTTGAAGATATATATGCATATAACATCACTTGGGCAGGGTTAGAATTGTTAAAAGAACAAAATGAGATCTACTCAAAGGACCCAGCACAGGTTTGGGCTCATAAGACGATTCTAAGAAATATACTTAGGCATGGTGGTGCATGCCTGTAACTCAGGGCACAAAGGCAGGAGGGTCATAATTTTGAGGCCATCCTAAGTTGTTTTTTTTTTTGTCCTTTTGAAACAGGGTCTCACTATGCAGTTCAGGCTGGCCTTGGGCTCACTTTGTAGCTCAAGCTGGTTTGGAACTCGCCACAATCCTACCACCTCAGCCTCCTGATGCTGGGTTTATAGGTGTGTGCCACCATGCGCAGCATAGTCCTAAGTGACTTAACTACAAAAAAAAAAAAAAAAAAGAAAATGAAAAACCACCTCCCAACCAAAAAACTTTTTTTTAGGATAGGAATTGAGAGATGAGCGAGAGAGAGGGAGGGTGGGGAAAGAGGGAAGAAGAGAGAGAGAGAGAGTTTATAACAGGGAAAGTAGGAGTGCTGAAACAACCTTTCTACTTGCTAGTGTGGGTTCCTTCTTGCTCTCCAAAATAAAATTTCCTGGAGCTTTGGGACCCTCTACTTTCAGTTTACTAAGGCCTTACTGCTTTTGTGCAAGAACAAGTTTAAAATTAGGGTAGGAAAGATGGGAGGCCAGGGAGGAGCAAAATGAATGAGACTATTTATCTTGCATCACTGCCTTCTGAGCAGAGTGCTGCGTGGACTCCATCTCAGTAATCCTCCGTAATCCTCTGTGCTCTCCATGGAGGAAGGAAACAGGTTTTAGGGAGCAGTTTCCATTGTGGGCATCTTCCTCCTCAGCCAACTGGACTCCTACCTTCCCACTTGCAACCCATCCTCTATGGTTAGGAGTGTCCCAAGAAGTCATTTATATCAAGGGGAGTTGCCGGAGCCCTTGTTATGGGAATCAGTGCACCTTGGCTGTCAGCTTTTATACCTCTGTGATGCCGTTTGAAATCTTGCTGTTCTGTTCATGTGTGTGTTTTTCCTTTTATAAATACTTTTCCTATTTTAAAAATATGTGTATGAGCTTTAAACATTAGACAGTATAGTAGCATGTCAAATAGAAAGTGAAAGGCTCTTCTTTACCAGTCCTTCTCTTGGTGTGTTTCTTAACGCCCTTGAAATGGTATGGACTCTTCAGAGTTGTTCTTTGTGCCTTTATAATAGTACTGTATATACATGGCAGCATGCTGTGTTCATTTAACCATATTACCTCACACGTGCTGTGTCTGAGGCTGACCTTATGAAGTGAATTGCAGGTATCCAAATGTGTCTGGGGAGCAGAGAAAGGATGGAAGAAGAATATGCTGCCTCAGGCTATTTTCTTTCTGCTTGCCTGAAGCATTGTTGTAATGGGTCATGGCCTGTATTTTCTTTTCACAGAATGAGTTTGCGCTGACCAGCCTAGAGAAGAGCAGTACCGAAGAGCCAGAGAAAAAAGAAACCAAAGTGGAGGAGGAGATGGATGCCGAAGTCCTGGAGGTCTTTCAACCAACCCATGAGTGGCAGGCCCTTCAGCCAGGTACCAGATTCAGCAACTGTCCATTCGAAACACACTCTGCATTCAGACTGCATATGTCCTCTGGCCTTTGTCCACAGGGCTGCTTTGAAGGAGCAGCCGTTCTCTGGCCTGCTGGAATGGAATAGTGTGGTCCATCATAATGGTAGCTGTTGCTGCTGCAGGGCTCATGACCTTCACTTCCTAGCAGAACAAAGATAGTGGGATCTGAGTGCCCTGGGAGGAAGGCGGGTGGTGGGTGGCCATGCTTTCTGAGCAAGTGATTGAAAACTTTCTTTCCTTGCACTTCTGAAGCACAGGAGAGGCAGTGACATGTGCCTTGCTCTGCAAATGCTATTTTGGGCTCTGTTGCTTGGCTCAGTGCTGCTGAAATATTGTTCACAAGAGAGTCCTGAACTCCGGTGCAGGGCAAGAGTATTCTTCGTTAAAGGAACCTGTGCCAAGGAAGAGGGACTGACCCTGGCCTGGATTTTAAATGGAGCATCCTGAGAAGGAACAGCTTTCTAACCCTGGACCTAGGGCTTAAAATAATCTTAAAAATAGCCAGCAGTTGTGGAGTTTACCAGATTCAGGCACGGTGCTAGGTACTCCGCGTGCATAATCTCTTTCGGTCTTTACAGTAGCAGTTGCTGTTATTTTTGTGTTCCAGTAAAAGCACTGGGACTTGGTGTTTGGGTAACTTCTGCTATGCCACTTCAGCTAACTTGTCCTATGTCATTGACTTTACAGCCTGGATCTATTATCCTCCCACTTCTCCTTCCCATTGCAGCTGTCCTTGGCTGGAGCCCACCATGACTCTTGGGACTATTTTCAGGAGAAGGCTATTTGAAGTCTGTACAGTGAGAAGGTGGATGGCAAGCCCAGGCAGCTGCCACCATGTAGTTTCATCAGCTCCTTGCTGACATTCATCATCATGTCCTTACTGCCCCCATTGCTGCTGTGCTGGCAGGGATAGTGTTTGCTGTGCCAGCCAGCTTTCTGCTAGCAGTGTTGCTCCTGCTGGGCTTGCGTACAGGTAGTTGCTATCGCAGAAGAGTGGTGAAGCACCAAAGAAGCCCAGTGGGAACTAATTGTGTTGGGCAAGGGGAGGTTTAGGAACAGATACTGGGTTCAGCACATCCAACATCTGGATGCTCCTCTCAGCTTCTCTGAGGACTGAGCTCCTCTGCTCTTTAAGGACCAGAACTAGAGGATCTCTCAGGGGTAGAGAGTAGAAGCAGATGGAGGCTGATGTCCTGTGCCCCCTCCTCCCTCTCTGTCTGTTCTGTGGCTGGGTCAGTAGTTCCCTTGGAGGCCTTGAGAATGGTTCTGAACCAGGGCCCTTGTCCAGCCCTCCTGGTGGTGGTGCTGTTGATCTTGGCTAAGGAGTCCCAGTGTGTATGCTTGAGGAGGAAGAGCCAAAGCCTGTGTGGCAGGGTTGGGCTGTCAGTCCTGAGACTTGCCTTCTGGGCAGCTGGAGTGGGGCAAGTTTTTACATTGAATTTGGTACCCTGCTGACATTACTTTTCACCTTAGAGTTTTTAAAGAGCTCCTTGTAAACTCTGTTGACCCAAAGGCTAGTGTGTTGCAGTTAAGCACACAGAGGGCCTACAGGGGCAAAAACACCTCTGGTTCCAGTCACGTCTGCCCCATCCATGGGAGAGCATTTTCACCTATACCTTACTCACAAGGCAAGACTGGTAAGGGAGCTTAGGTGGTATACTTGTTCTGGCTTCAGTGTCTGACGCAAGGTGACCTAGGTTCTATACAATGGAGTTAAACCAGTGGAGGCAGCCAAACCATTCTTAGGTCCCCATATAGGATTGAGGCATTCTGTGTAGATATTGTTAGGAAATTGATCTTTTAGTGGTCTGTGTGGATATCTAAACCAGCTTTTAAACAAAATTTAATACTTAATTGACTACATTCTGAATGCTGTCTGGGAGCCTCTAACAGCTACCTAAAGGCCAAAAGGAATGTTGCCAGTCCTAGGAGCTTCTTGGAATGTGCAGGTAAATGGAGAGGTAGAATAATTTATTTAGTGGTAAAAAACACAGACTTTAGACTCAGCTTGCCAAGCATGGTGGCACATACCTGCAGTCCCAGCACTCAAAAGGCTGAGGCAGGAGGATCATTGTGAGTTTGAGACCAGCCTGGGCTACAAAGTGAGCTCAAGGCCAGCCTGAACTGCATAGTGAGACCCTGTCTCAAAAAGGCTCAGCTGGTCCTGGTTTTTCTTTTCTGCTTAGGGAATTCCTCTATTCTTCTTTCCCTCCACTCACCCCTTTTCTTTTTCTTTTTTTAAACTTTTTGAGATAGGGTCTCATGATATAGTTCAGGCTGGCCTCATACTTGTTATGTAGCTCAACCTGGCTCAACTCTCAATCCCCCTGCCTCAGCTCCCCACTTGCATGCCAAATGCTATGACTTAGGGAGTCCTGAGCAAGTCACTGAGTCCTTCTGCTCTTTGCTTTCCCCACTGTTGATGGGGTCTGCTGCACTGGTTATTATATGGATGAGGTGGGAGATGCAAAGCCCTCTGCCCAATTCCTGCCATGAAGGCATCACTCAAAATACAGCTGTGCTGGTTTCAGTGGTATATTCTCTACTCAGCTGTGGAATTGGATGCCAGTATATGGATAGGAGCATGTGGCCTTCCTATCCCTGTGGCCTAGGAAAGGGAATTTAGAATGTGAAGGAAAGACTTCCATGGTCACAAAATATTCTTCCTCTCTTCTTCAGTAGCAGTTTTGATGAAGGACTAAAGGTAAACATGAGCAGAAGGGTTAGTGGAGTATTTCTTGCTTGAGAGTTGGAGTGTGGTACAGGAAGATGGTGGACTCTTCATGGAAGTTTTTAAGAAAATGGCCAGTTTACATTCACAGTTGCTGACCCCAGCCTTGGTCTTCCAGTTCAGTTTTTTCTCAGAAGGAATGACTGCAGCTTTGTTTTCCTTAGGCCTTGAAGAGAGGGATACTCGGATGTGTAGGCTGTTTGGTTTTGGCTGGCCTCACCTGCAGGCAGATTTCCAGCCTGCCTGGTGCAGCCTGACACACCATGGGAGCAGCCCATGACTTTGTGGGCCTTCCCACTGAACCAGGTGGTTAGAGAGCCCCAGCCACACAGCCCTGGAGCAGCTCCAGGTTACTCTCCTAAAGTCTGCTTGCCTCTGTTATTACTGTCAGCATCCTCCCTGGGAGTCGCTTGTTCCTGGAAGTGATTTTCCTGTCTCTCTTTCTTCTCGTTTATTTTGGGATCTGCCTCACCTTACGGAGGCACAGCAAGCATTTGAGTGTGGCTTCAGCATCAGCTGTTCACAAGCAAGCAGAGGAAAGCTGTTTGCTGGCAGGTCCTGGTGGTTCTGGGCAGGAAGCTTAGAAATCTGTTGGGGCGTAGGACCCTGAACACACCAGGACTTTGTGCCTGTGCACTCGTTATTACAGAATTCTGATCACAGCCAGATTCAGCAGGGCTTCTGCTCCCAGAGCATTTTCTGAGATCATACTTTGTGCCAGACACTGTATTTGTAGCCAGAGATATAGATAATAGCTCACATTTACCGAGCATTGACTCTGCCAGGCTTCCTTTGAGGGCAGATGCTATAACTATCCTCATTTTTTACAGGCAAAATTGAGAGAAGAAATGATTTAGCCAAACAGTCAGTAAGTGGTAGAGTCAGAATTCAGTCCCAGCTTTTTCTAGCAATGAGCTCCTGCTCCTAATCACTGTGCAATACTGTCTTCTGGGGAACAAAAAGGACATAGCCCCTACCCTCTATACCTTATAGACTCACAGAGGATACAGAGAAAAAAGACCACCAACATAGTTTTGGAGATCTCAGTGGAAGTGTCTGGTGCTCAGTGAGGGCACACAGGATGGTGTGGCAGGGCCAGGGCCTTCATTCTTTAACCCTGTGATCTCAGTCGGGGGGGTTAGTCAAATTTTATGATGCCAAAGCTCCACCCTGTCTGCAGGTCTGCTTTTGAGCTATGTGCCCTTGATGAGATTGTATATAATCTCTGATCCTTAGTTTCCTCATGTGAAAATCGGAATGAAAATATCTACTTCACAGAAATGGTGTGAAAATGAAATAAGATTTATATGTTTTTGCAGAGAGCCTCGCACACAGGACATATTTAATAAATGATTGGAATTGCCATTTAAAAAATATACCTTTGCTACCTCTGTTTCCTTGGGGATTTGAAGGAGAAGTGGAGGAGGCTCCTTGTCCTGCCTGTTTGCCAGTGCTGCCTGTTGGCCCCATGCAGGCTCAGGGAAGTGTAGCCAGGCTGAAACCCAGGGCTCCTTATTGACCTGATCTGACTTGAGGCATTTATGAGAGTCTCTGAAATACTGGCGTTAGCACAAAGAGCCCACTCGATGGGAGCATGCAGGAAGCCTGTGCAGGAGCACGTTCGTGGGGGCAGGGGTGGAGGAGAAAAGTCCAAATCATCAACAACTGATGAGAGCAATCCAAGAATTACAGAGCACCCGCCATCTGGTCAGATCATTTCAGATCTGCACGAGCAATAAGAGGGAATTGAATTTTAAAAACCTCATTTATAGTAGACCAACTACTCTGATTTCAAGTGTTTAAGAGAGGAGCCTTGATTTCCTGCTGGCCCTGGACATCTGTCTGAAGGAGCACCTGACTGGTCTATGTGACCACAGGGCTGTCTCTTTGGGGCCTTTGGTCCTTTGCAACTTGGGAGAAGTTCTTCAACCTCCTGATACCAACTGGGTCTCCAAAGCATCTGTTCAATTCTGACACTGTCTTCTAAGAATTAGTGTCAGATTCCACAAGTTGAAGGAATAAATCTCAATAACCACCTCCATTTCAGATGCTGGTCACAAGTCCCAGGCCAGGCCACTTGTACTTCTGACTCTTCTGTTTACATATTAAGGGTTCCTATCACCTGCTTCTCAAGTTTTATAATGTGCTGGAATGTCTCATAGAACTCAGGACAACACTTAACTTGTCTTCACCCATTTAGTATAAAGGACGAAACTCAGGACCAGCCAAG